GCTAGAGGGACAGCTTTGGCGGGAGGGCCAGGTCAGGGTCTGAGGGATGGGGGGTGAGGGGTTCTACCTCTTGGTGCGGCGGAACATACTGCCGCCAGGGAAGGAGGGCATCGAGAAATTGGAAAGCGCGGTCCAGAGAGAGTCAGACATGACCCGGCGGCGGCGACATGGTGGCAGGTGCGGCTGCGGCGGCGGCGCGGGGAGCGAGCGCGCTGGGCGGAGGCTGGAGCCGCAGCGGGCAGGGGAGGACGGGGGAGGGGAGGGCCGTGCGCGCCGCCTCCCGGGAGGGGGCGCTGCTGGGTACCAGCTCGCCAGGCCCCGCCCGCGCCCGCGCCTGGAGCCTCAACCCTGGCGGGAAAAGGGGCGCCCAGCCATGCGCATCTCTCCCCAAGGCTCACCTGCTGCTTTTCCGGGGCAGGGGCAAATCCTTCTGGAAGGCAAAGGAACAAAAAGATAGAGGTCAGCATGGGCCAGCAGCTGCTGCCCAAAAGCCTTTTCAGCCCCCTGGAGATGCAGAAGTTGAGTGGGACAGGCCCCTCATGAGCATGTCACCTGTACCCTTGGCCATGCGTTAAGGGCTGGAGGGAGGGGAGGGGTCGGGTACCAAAGTGATTCCTCCTCCGACCCCCAGAGACCAGCATGGGACCCAACAGAGGACTCCTGAGTTGGCATCTCAATGTGTTTGTGCAAGTGAAATAGGAGTCTTTATTTGAAAAGTATTTATTGAACACCTGTGCTAGGGCCTATGCCAGGCCCTGTGCTAGGCATTGGGGACATAGCAGTGAATGGGACAAAAATTCCTGCCTTTTTGGTACTAGCATTTAGAAGAGGGAAGCATACAATAAGCAAGATTAGTGTAGAAGTGAATGAGATCATTTTAGACAGCAGTAAGTGTCATGAATAAAATTAAGCAAGGTGATATGATGGAAAGTGGATAGGATGGGGACATCATGGTCTGAGAGGGCTGCTCTGGGGAGGTGTCTTTTAAGATAGTTGCTAAAAAATAAGTGGCAGCCATGGGAAGATCTGTGGAGAGAGTATCCCAGGTAGAAGAAACTTAAAAGGCCTGGAGGCAGGAATGAATTTAGCATGCTCAAATATGAAAGTTTGAATGAATGGATGAATGACTCCTCCACACCCCAACGGTTCTACCCCACTGCTAGCCACATCCACAAAGTTGGGGGTGGGGGTAGTTAAGGTGATTAAAAACTGAGATTTGAATTGGGAATCAGGTGGTAGCTAGGTGGTCTTTTTTTATGACAGTGATAATAATTGGTAGCTATTAACTTTATGTGTCCACATCAGAAGATGGTCGTGTTCTGCTTGTCAAGCACACAGGAAGTCATTACAGGGGCCAGAAATTACGGAGATCTAAACACTTTTTTGAGAGGAATGGGGAGAGGGGATGCCATCTTCCAGCCGTTCTGTGTCCACAGGCTGATGTGAATAAAGGGGATTGGGTAGGGCTGCAAGATTTGGGTAAGGGTTTCAAAAGCCCTTTTGTTGGGGAGTCTAACCAGGGGGAAATTAGGACTGTTGTAGATCCTCTCTACTAAAGCAGAAAGCCCTGGGTTCAAATCCCAGCTTTGCCTCTTATAACTTGGCAAATGACTTTCCAATAGTCTGTGCCTCCTAGAGGATTCTGTGAGATGATATAGGTGTCTAGCACCTTAGTGTGATGCCTCGCACACAGCACTCAATAAATATTAGGTCATAGGAACCGGAGTTGTTGTGGATAGACTCGCTGCATGACAAAAAATGGGCCAGAGGACCTCCCCGCTCCCAAGTACACAGGACAGACGTATAGTTGGGGTCAAAGGGCACACTGTCGAGTTGGCAGCCCTGCCGTCCGGAGCCACAAGTGACCAAAACTCCATACCAGGTTTTCCCCCTGTCTTTGCAAGATCAGCTTGAATGAGCCGCATCTTGGACCAGCCTGCAGGGCTGTGCCACCGCAATGGCCCAAGCGAAATCAAGACCTGGATTTTCCGGCCACGGAGCCCAGAACTCCAGACCCAGGTACACTCGACCTTCGAAGGTGAGCCCTTGGGGAAACTTTAAGCCCCTCCCAGAGAAATCCTCAAACCTAGCCCCATCTGGTAAGCGCCCCTAAACATTCTAAGGTCGAACAAAAGGGCAAACTGGAGCGGTAGAGGATTTGGATTTTTGGCGTCAGTTTAAACAGACGCCACCTCCAACCCCAGCTGCAGAGCAGCTCTGCCAAGAGGATCCTGCTTCTCCCCGGGATTAATGGACAGGGCTGTGGACTGCGCATTCGAACTGAGGATGTTGTTCATATATACGACCCCAACTGCACACAGGAAAACCCCGGGGGCTTTGCGGTTGTGTGACAGTTCCTAAGAGGTTGCACTAGTGTATGAAGTTGTATCCAGGCAGCGAAGTGGTTAAACCTGCCAGAGAGAAGAGGTAGGGGCAGGACCCTGTCAGGGGGTGGCCTGGAGTAGTGGTTGCCTAGGGAAAGTTGGGAGGATCGGTAGGAGGATCCCGGGTGGGGGGCGAGGTGTTGCAAGAGACAGAAATTCCGCGTGGCGCTGAGCCAATGGGAATCGGCTCCAGACCAGAGGGCGGGGACACACCCCATGCAGGCCCCGCCCTTTTCCTCCTTTTTCGGGGGGACCCGACGGCGCGTACCCAATCTGGCTGCTTCAACACTTGCTCTGGTTTTGCCGCAGCTCCTCCCTTTTCTCAGAACCCTTTCTCCTCACCCAGCCCTGGAATGGGGAGAGACTCCAAGGAAGACCTGAAAAGCCCAAGGCTCTTAGATGGAGCCACCTGGGCTCTGAAAGCAAATTAGCTTTCCAACACAGGTCTGGCTCCAGCATCATCCAGAATCCTGGGAAGTCATTCCTGCCGTCTGACCCCAATTTTTCCTGCTGCAATGACTGATCAGCTCACCTTAGTCACCAACCTCAGGGATGGTGGGTTAGAGGAGCCCAGAAATGGACAAGGCCCTGGATGAGGGTTCGAATCCTCCCCCTTTTTTTCCCAAGCTCTAGGCTTGGGATGTAGCCTAAGTCTGGACCCATGTTAGGCTTTATCTAAACTCCTCAGATTACTTAGCAAGGGACTGAGCTCCAAAATGGCTCATTAGGACCAGACAGACCTTGGAGTGAAATTTTGATCAGTTTCCCCTCTGGGGTCAGTTTGGGGACAAGGCCTAACCCCCGTATTAGCCCTTAGAAGCGCACACCAAAGACAGAAGAGAACATTTCTTAGCTTCAGAACCCCCACCCATCTTGGAAGTGGGAGTTCCAGACGCCTGGATTTGTCTATATCTTCCTACACTCCACAACTATCCTGTGTCCCACTCTGCGCAGTGGACTTATGCCTCCCGCGCCTGTGCAGCCTGGAGACCAGCATCTTCTAAGGCTGCAAGGAGCTAAAAATTGCTCCCGCCCACCCACAAGCTGCGCTGGACTTGAGGATCACGCAGGGGTGGGGGGTGTGTAGTGGAAGGGGGTGGAATGAAGAGTAAGGAGGGAGGCTGTCTAGGTGCCTGTCCAATTAGGTCAGTAGAAAGAATCCTAGTGGCTGGGCAGGTGCATGGAGGTCGCAGGGGGTACCCACATCTCCGAAAGAGGCTCCAGAGGTGGTGAGGGGCGAGGCTGCCACACAAACATATTTACGGCTGTAACCGCGCCAGCGGCCCCATGGGGTGCGAACCCTGGGGCAATAACTTTGCTCTGCGCCCCCTCACCCTCAGCTTGGCGAGGCTCCAGTGAGATGACTTATGGCTTGGGCCCCCTGTCCTCGGGTGGGCCTGGCGCCCCGCAGGCTATCTTCGAGGGGGAGCGCTCGGCTGCACCTCCCCTGTCAGCTCGCTGGATCCCCCAGCGGCGCCTGAGGGGCGGGGTCCCCAGCGCGGTAGGACGCGCGGCTACCGCGTTCCCTGCGGGCAGCGTCCCGAGGCCGTGGGAGGGGGAGCCGGAGCGGATACTGGTGCAAATTCTCCCGCCCCCTGCCGGGCCTTGCCCCAGGGCGCCGACCCCTTCCCCTCCACCCGGGGCCGAGGCCACCGCGTACCTGCAGCCTC